CCGAAGATTATTGAGGAGATTTTTTATTAAAAAACCATTCGTTTATTTTCTCTACTGTTGGATAACTTTTTGTTTTTAACTTTCTAAGTTAAACCTATATACGTGATTATTGGTTAAGTTATGAGCCTCGTTTAAAGCTAGTTTAAATTTAATTAGGAATTGAAACTTCATTTAGGTTTTAGTTAAAAACTTTGGTTATATGTAATGATGAAGCGATTGTTTAATCTATTGGTTGTAATTGTGTCACTTAAAAAAATTTTAGTTACTTTTTTTTTTGGGTTGCTGAACAAATTAACCCATAAAATAATGTCATCAAAATCATTTCCCTTAAGTTTGCTATTATGTATAGATTACCTACCATAGATATAAAATTTTAAGATTTAGTGCCATATGACATTTTGTAAATAATTTGCAACAAAGTCGAACCGGCTCTAAATCAAAACCAACCCGGTTTAGTCGTACCATCTTACACTCGATAGAAAATGGGCCCAAAACGAAAAAGATCCAATTTGGGGAATGAGCAAAATGCTTTCCTCTCTTTTAAATCTGTCTTTTCTTTCAAATTTTCTCCCACCTTCATTTCCTTGTGCGTTTTTCTCACGCAGATCAATTACACAAGAGAGTGGTTCTCAATCGCTTAAACTAGCGCGTGAATTATAAGCATCCAATCATATTAAAATTAAAGTAAATAAATAATCATTTTGCTGAAAAAGAGAGAAAATCCAAAGTAACTTTGATTGCCTCCTTTTCTTCTTCTTCTCCGGTAGGATCGACCGGAGCGATCTTTGCTTTTGTTAGTCTCCGGTTACTACCACCGTCGTCGTTGTCCGGAATCCGATTGATTCATGGTGGAATTGACTCTAGCCGATCTGGTTTACTCGCCTCGGTGGTCGCTTCAACTGTGGAATGTTTTGGTGAACTGGCTCGATTTTTTCTACCAATTGATCCTTCGTGCTTTCGCTCATAATCCTCTTCTCTATACTTCCTCGTCTACGAAAGCTATCGCCGATGTTTTCAAACCGTTGTCAGTCATCGAATTACCGGAGATTGCGGCGGAATCACCCGTCGCCGTCGAAATCGCCTCGGAAGGAGAAGTCAGTAGCATCCAGAGACTCACGGTATGCTCTTGGTTTTAACGGATTGCCCAAAGTTTTTTTGAACTTTTGATCGAAGGAAACTGCTATCATTTCCTGAATCTTAAGATATGGAATTCAGAATCTGTCAAGTGTAGTTCTAAGTTGTGTAAAGGAGAGAAGGAAACTTAGAATTTGGATTAGCTTATCAA